ATGTCGTAGGGTGTCCAGGCGAACACTTCGATGTTAGAGGTTAATAATTCCAAAACCTCTAATCTCTCAGTGTTGGACAACGATGATCCGAGCAAAAAGAATTTATCCGGGTTCTTTTCATCTATTCTTACTTCTACCAAGTCTTCCACCGCTTTTTGGTCAGCTACTTTGCCGACATCTGCGAACAGTTCATTGCTCTCAGGTTCTTCCACCGAATGAACATATCCCTTGGCAGCGCGGCTACCATTAACCGTGACAAAGCATTGCTTAGACATAATTTGGTCTCCAAAGACCTCTTCAATTACCCTGGTTTCGTTGGGGAATCGCATTACTTGATGGTAGGACGAAGCTACCGCTCGTATGGCATGCAGCCATGCTCTTCCCATGATTATGTTGTAAGTGGAAGGGACCTTCAATACCTAAAATTCCACTTGTTTTGTCACGCTTCCTGCCCTGACTGGCAGGATAATTTTGCCAACTGGCCATTCTGGCATTGAGTTAAATTCGATCAGGGGGGATACAGCTAGGGCCAGGTCTTTGTCCTCCAATTTTAGTTGTTTGAAGGTGTCGTAGTACATGATCTCACACGAGCTACCTTGGTCTATCAAAATTCGCTTGACATCGTAGTCCTTGATGCGAAGGGTGACGACCAGTGCATCGTTGTGAGGGCAATATATTCTTTCCAAGTCCTTGTCTGAAAAAGACATGACGTTCGTGGCCTCTGTTCTTTCATTTTTTATGGTAGGTTGGGCGCTTAGTACCTCTCTTAAGTGCTCATCCTTCTTTATCATGCCCCTGAGCTCGCATACGAGCTCGCATACGAGCTCGGGTTTGAATACTCCATGAATCACGTTGATCACGCCTTGAGGTGAGGGGTCGATTGGCATACCGTTCGGGTGATCGTCATTCTGGGGGCTGGCTGTGCCCCTCCTTCAATGTATTTATCCAGGTGACCGGCTGCCACCAACTCCTCTAAATGCTGTCTCAATGGTGTACAATTTTCAGTGCGGTGCCCCTTTTCTTTATGGAAGGTGCACCGCGATCTTTCGTCGTAGTCCTTCTGAGCTTCTCCTAGCTTGGCAGGCCATCTGACGAAAGGTTCATCGCGTATCTCGCTTAGGATCCAGTAGATTGGTTTTTTGAATACCGTGGTAATGGCAGTGCGGATTCTCAACCATCTTTTATCCTGGTCTTCTCCGTTGTCTCGCCTGCCTCATCCATTTTTGTTCGGACGTTCTACCGTGTTAACCTTTGTTGCGGTCTTTTTATCTGGTACTGTGGTCGTGCTAAACTTTGATTTAGCACGAGCGCCATCTTTTTCTACTCGAATGTGTTGGTGCACTCTCTCCATTAAGGCCTCCATTGTGAGAGGTGGTGTCATAGTGATTGAGTCCCTTAGTCTGTTCCCGACTGGAAGGCCTCTTTTGTACTATGCGATGGCAAGATTGGTGGGGCAGTCCCCAATCTGGTTGAAGCTCTCCCAGTAGCAGCTATTGTAGGATTTTAATGACTCTTTTTTGCCCATATCGATGGAGAGCAGTTGATTAATTTCCACCGGGGTTTTGGTGTTCGTTTTGAACCTGGTAACGAATGCCTCCGCCAATTGCGCCCAGGAGGCTATGCTGCCTTCTGGAAGTTTTTTGAACCAAGTCAAGCCTAGATCACCAAGGCTTGATGGGAAGAGGATGCAAATTAAAGCTTCGTTCCGTCGGTATACTGCCATAACCTAACGAAAGTGGCTTAGGTGCATGTAAGGGTCTGTCTTCCCTTCGTACGTGGTAAATTTAGGCTGGATGAAGCCTGAGGGTAATGGTGTGTTCTCAATTGCTGGAACGAACGGCGAGCAATGGAGTCTTGCCAATGCTTTATCTGTTGGTTCGTAGGCAAGGTGCGGTATTGGCATCCCAACCTCGACGCTTCCATGCGTCCGAGGGGTCAACTGCTGAAGGGCCGAAACTCTGTGTGGATTGCGCGTCCTAGCATCCTCCTTCTGTCGCGCCCTTTCTTCAAGCACAGTCCGTAAGTCGGACGATCTAGGCAACTCTGTTTGCCTGGATGATGTATGGTGCGTGTGTGAGGGTCGATAGGTACTTCTTTCTGTGTAAGACCTTAGTGATCTCGTTCTCTCAGACCTGAAGTAATGAGTTCTGGAAGTCCTTGATTGAGTGTCACTCGTCCTGAGGCTTCTACTCTCTGCTTGCGATGTCGTGGTATGCCTACTACGATCTTCTGAGTGGCGAGGAGGCGTATTGCCTTTGCGCCCCTCTCCTGTCGCCACCCCTTTTCCCTTGATCTGGCGCTTCATGGCCTCCATGTCCGCCGTCATCTTCCTTATCAATTCAACTTGCTCCTTCACGCGGTCCTCCAGAACTTGAGGATCAATCCTCTGCCTTTGTCTGTCAAGACTTTGTGAACGAGAGTGACGGGGGCTGTTCGTTCCCCTCCTCCCCCTTGCATCCCTCCTGGGATTCTGTCGCTGTGGCTCCAAGTCCGCCATAGGAGGGATAGAAGGTAGGCCTTCGCGCCTCGCACCCCCCTCTGGTGTTTGTCCATCGATGGCGGACTGCGGAAAATCTTCGTTGTACGCCATTGCTTATAAAGAGGAAAAGCTTGATCAAGAGGTTTTGTTCTAGTCTGATGTTTCCCACAGACGGCGCCAATCGTACGGGAAAGAAATAAACCTTCTCATATAATCCTGTTGATCAAGTCTGCGCTCCTCCGTACGTCGTCGCTTTACTCCCTGAAAACACAAATGTGAGCTAGCCGGCGGGTGTGTGCCGGATACCTCTCCGATGCCTAAGTTAGCAAAATAGACAAATAGACAAAAAGCTCTGTGTGTTCGGGAATCAAAGTTGTGTTACCTTTCCATAGGTGATGTTATGAGCTTTTATAAGTTTCGTGTGACACAATCCTAGTAGGACTTTTACTCCTCTATGTAGAGTCCTGATAGGAATCACATTCCTGAAAGATAATGCTTATCCTTCAACACCCTCCTCACTGCTTGAACCAAGTGAGATGGTTTTACCATGGTCGGACTCCAATATGACCGAGGTAAGCATGGCTGTGCTGAGCCGTAGAGTAGACTGAACTATAGCTAGTTTGGTTTTTCCTTTCACTGCTCTTACCCCGGTTCCTCCTTCACAAACCCTGGCGTGATTAGACCGAGATAACAAAACATCAAGGTCCTGACCGAGCTAACAAATAGCTAGGTTCTGATCGGGCTATCCATAATATGCCATGACCGGGCTAACTCTAAGTATGGTAACCAGGCTAATCGCCACGCTTCTTTAGACCGGAATAACTTCAAGGCTCTTTTGGACCGGGATAATAATAAGGCGTTATCCGGACCGGGCTAACTCCAAGCTCTGTTTTATCCAGCCCTTCTTTCCGTGGCCCAATGAACGGCCCATTACCTAGCTCGGCCCAATTTATATATAAATTACCCTTCAACTAATATTATGTTCCTTCATGGTTGCGGTGGAACTTTGTGTTTCTCTATTGTTGTAAGTCATAACTCTGTTTATGTCCAGTTAATTTTGTTACAAACATATTCATCAAATGTGGGTTTGGATTGATGGAATAGTAAAATTGCATAGATTGTTAATGATAATGATAAATATGATGATGTGGGTTTTTTTTTTTTTAGAGATCAAATTTTTTTTAGATTTCTAATTCTATTACTGCCGTTATTTTTTTTTTGTCAATTAGTGTAAATGTTCACATTTCATATTGTTTGAAAGTTTAAAAAATAAGTGTTGGAATATAGCTATGGACATAATTATATATTTGTAGGATTTAAATATTCACATATCATTGGTTATTTGTTACCATACTTGTTGTTTGAACAATTTTTTTTGTTACTATTAAACAATTGAAATAGTCCTTTTTTTTTTTCTTTCAATTTTGTTTCATGTTGCAGTGTGAATGTTCACATTGGTATGAATTTAATTTTTCTAAGATTTGTTATATGTTAATTGTAAATTGTGAACATTCATATTGTATTTTGGTATATTTTTTTTTTTTTGAAGTTTTTTCGAAAGTTAGTTGTATTTTATTATTATTTTTACTATACTTGTTGGTTGAACAATCATTTTTGTTACCATTAAACAATCGAAATAGTCGATTTTCACTTTTTTCAATTTTATTTTATGTTTTTACGTTGCAGTGTGAATGTTCGCATTTGTATGAGTTTATTTTTTAAAAAACTAGTATATTAATTGTAAATTGTGACATTCACATTATATTTTTGGTATAAGTTTTATTTTTTTGAAAGTTAATTGTATGTTTGTTGTTTTTGTTACTATACTTGTTAGTTGAACAATCATTTTTGTTACCATTGAACAATTGAAATATTCAATTTTCATTTTTTTTTATTTTGTTTTATCTTCTCACGTTGCAATGTAAATGTTTACATTGGTGTGAGTTATTTTTTTTAAGACTAGTTGTATGTTAATTATAAATGATGAACATTCATATTGTATTTTGATATGAATTTATTTTTTCGAAGGTTTTTTATTGTGTACATTCATATTGTACTTTAGTATGTGTTTTGTTTTTTTAAAAGTTAGTTATATATTTGTTGTTTACTGTGAACATTCACATCGTATTTTGACTTTTATTCAGATTTTTTTTTGCGTTATTTTTAAAATTTTCAAATTATAAAAAGATTCAAAATTCATAATTTGATATTTTCTCCATGGAATGGAGGAGAGATTTTCTTCATAGAATAAGAAAAAGATTTTCTCTTTAAAATGAGGGAGTGATTTTCTCCACAAAATGAGAAACTATTACTATGTATTAGTTTCAAAATAGAAATATGTGCACAAAATTTAAAATGATGATTTAGTCATATTATATTAAATAAAACTTAATGGAATACTCAAAAAGAATATGAGCTAAATAGAATAAAACACTTAAAAAGAAGATTTATCAATGCTTGATTAATTATTGCTACAAAATATAGAATTATATCATTTTGTTATAAATTGTCTAATTATAAGGTGAACAAAATGAGACAAACACAATTGAGGGAGAAAATATTGGTGATGCAGTGGACCATTTCTTGAAGACTAGGGTCTCTCTATCCTTGTCCCGTATTCTCCACGGGAGGCTTCTTTGCAATGGCAACAGAGCATATCCATTGCATTGTGGGTGGGCATTGACTGCAAGAGACGACAATCCATGTCGTCATCGTCGGCTTGAGAAGCTTTACTTTCTCACTGCCTCTAGGGTTCCCTTCTCCAACCCTCCTCATATCAGCAAGTTTTGGTACTCCAATTTTCTCTCTTTCCATCTTCCATATACTTTTGTGGATCATTTTTTTTTTCTTTTTTTTGGGTGTTTTAATGTTTGTTAAATTGATTGTGAGAGAAATGGTGGATTAGTTCATTCGTATACAATCATCATTAATTTTGAACTAGGATGTTGTTGCTTGCTTTCCCAGTATATATTGAATGTCACAGAATTAGATGATGCTCTGATCAAATGCCACTCTATCGGAAGATCATAGGGATATTTGATTAGACGGACTGGATAAGGGGGTTAGAATCCATCGGAGTTTCCGGGATTATTTGGTTGGATTAGATGTGTATCCCGTATTAAATGTCTAAAATTGACTATTTTTAGTCAATTCAATGTTTGGTTGGATAGACTGGATAAAGATAAATGATTAAAAGGCTATTTTATTATTTTTAATTGTTTACTAAATAATAGCAATATTAAATTTGTCTTTAAATTTAATCTTTATTTATAATTGATTAGTGGACTACAATTAATTGTTTAATTTTTTCAATGTTTCAAACAAACATTTTCCCAATAGTTACACTTTTTAATGGTCACTGTCTTTCAATATAAAATAAGACCATTTCGCTTCTAATGTTAATATAAAATAAGACCATTTCACTTCTAATTTTTATCCAACACAAATTTTTTTTTTTTTGACTATTTTTAGTCAATTCAATGTTTGGTTGGATAGACTGGATAAAGATAAATGATTAAAAGGCTATTTTATTATTTTTAATTGTTTACTAAATAATAGCAATATTAAATTTGTCTTTAAATTTAATCTTTATTTATAATTGATTAGTGGACTACAATTAATTGTTTAATTTTTTCAATGTTTCAAACAAACATTTTTCCAATAGTTACACTTTTTAATGGTCACTGTCTTTCAATATAAAATAAGACCATTTCCCTTCTAATTTTTATCCAACACAAATTTTTTTTTTTTTGATCGGTAAAAAAATAACTTTATTAATGCGTAGAATAAGCAAAGCATAAATGCATCAACAAAGAAAAAGAGTAAAGAACACACGCCCAAAAACCAAAAGAATAAAAAACAAAAGTTGAAGAGATTTCAACAAAAAGCCTTTACACCCACAGATTAAAAGCAACATACCAGCTATGTTTCAAGGCTCAAAAAAAAAAAAAAAAAAAAAAACCAGCAGCAGCATAACACTACAAACAACCAGCAGCAGCAACATCTATAACCAGCTATGTTTTTTCAATGCTCAAAACAAAAATACAGACCTTGTACCTACCAACAACAGAGGAAGCAAATGATATATGATGAGGGAAAAATACACTTTTTACGGTTTAATCCTATGGGATTGTTATCCCATGACAACACACACCCCCCCCGGCAATGTAATCCTACATATGGGGGATGGACTCCATGTCCAGCAGACTAAAAAAAACAAACCCCGGATAAGGGTCTTCCAATGGATTTCAATCTAATCCTATACCCTAATCCTTCCAATCAAATACCTCCATAGAGTTGGATGATGCTAATCTATTGCTAAGAATAGCTATCAGGTAGCTAGAGGCGTTTAGGCAACATAGTAAAAAGTTATATTTTTGGCTTTTTGGCTTTTTTAGGTCATGTCACCCTCTACTTTTTTAATACAAAAAAGCCAAAAAGTAATAAAAAAGTCAAAAAGCTAACTTTTTACCAACTTTCCAAAACGCCACCTAATAGGGTTGGTCCCATTTCGATGATGTGAACCGTTCATTTTGTAGAGCTGTCGTGTATATCATCATGAAAAAAAAATAGCATTGATCTGATAATTGTAGCATTTTTTTTATAGTGTCTCTAAAAATATGGATAGTCTATTTTCAAAACATTCTTGTCATCCATTTTTTTAAAAATGAACGCAATGAAATAAAAATGTTACGATATCAACTTTATCGTTTCCATTGATGATATATACAGAGGGCCCTACAGAATGAACAGTTCGGATCATCAAAAAGGGACCCATGGTGCGCTCTACGAACTCCTCAAGTTCTCTCAAGTTTAGATTTAAAATTGAGATCTGATGTTGAGAGAAGCCGCACCTAGTTGATATTCAGTAGTTTGCACCCACTTATTTTAGAATTTCATTCTCTTTCTTCATTTTTCAAAATTTTCAGGCCCCTTCAGCCTAACCAATTTGAAATTTTTATTGGGTGCTTGCCAATTACTAGAATAGAGAATTCTTGTTTAATCTTATCTATGTAATTGATTGTTCATTGAAATATACTTTTAATGTAAGGCGGAAGATGAATTCTTTTTTTAATCAATTTTAATCTTAGCATGACTGCTAATCGAGACTGATATACTGAGAAGCTAGAGGTAGTTCCAAGTGAGGATTTAGAAGCAGTGCCTAATACAGTGGTGACTGCAACAAAGACCAAAACTTTCGGAAGGCTTGAAGAATGAGAGTCGAGGAATTGAGAAATGATGCAATAGTTTCTCATTTAGGAAGAAGATAAGCTCAAAAGGCAGACATGTGTCGGACATTGGCACTTGTTTATGTTTTTTTTTTTTTAAATCTTTCAGAACTAGACATGGTTTAAACACTTGGGGAATACGCATGTCCATCGCTTAGACACAAATCAAACACATGATTGTTTTAAAGAAATAAATTGGGATCCTATTATAAAATCAAAATAATATAAATTTATACCTATTAATCCCTCATTCTTGGAGTTTTTTGATTTTAGGTTTGAGCATTCCTAAAAGAAGAAATTAATTATAGAATCAATTAAACTACACAACATAGTGACAAAAGAAAACATTCTCTGTAAAAATTGTGATTCAGTGAAGAATTATAATAAAGCATTGGCTACAGGACAGAGAGGTTTCTTTACTTCTTTCTTTTTTTCTTTTTTTCTTTTTTTCTTTTTTTCCTTTTCTTTTTTCCTTTTAGGTTATTTTGTTTTTGTTTATTTATTTTGATAAGTATTCTTCTTCTTCTTCTTCTTCTTCTTCTTCTTCTTCTTCTTAATATTATTATTCTTCAGGATGTGTGTTTTCTTTGTTGTATAGGAGGTGACCACATCAGGTCTTCATTACCAAGAACCTGTTTGCTTTTGTTTAATTTTTCACTTTTCTAAATTTATGTTGTGCCTTCAAGAAAGAAGTTTGATATGATATTTTTATTTCAAATCCCCTCTCAGAATGCTTAGGGAAGTTCCTTAGTAAAACTACTATGAAACTTTGTTATAGTGTCATATCTGACATGTTTTGTGTTCATTGGGGGCATTCAGAATGATTTCTAGACAATGAAGAATTAGTTTTAGATTTCCATTTGTGCTATAAATATTGATCAGTGATTGATGTTTACACTATTGTTGGGGCTATTACATCCTAATGATCACTGATTTGTCTAATACAATGAACAGATACCTATTAATCCCTCATTCTTGGAGTTTTTTGATTTTAGGTTTAAGCATTCCTAAAAGAAGAAATGAATTGTAGAATCAATTACACCACACAACATAGTGACAAAAGAAAACATTCTCTGTAAAACTACTATGAAACTTTGTTATAGTGTCATATCTGACATGTTTTGTGTTCATTGGGGGCATTCAGAATGATTTCTAGACAATGAAGAATTAGTTTTAGATTTCCATTTGTGCTATAAATATTGATCAGTGATTGATGTTTACACTATTGTTGGGGCTATTACATCCTAATGATCACTGATTTGTCTAATACAATGAACAGATTGATTCATTGTTAAATTCGTCCAGACCAATTTTTTCTTGAAGACTCTCTTTGATTTGATAAATCTCAATTTCTTTCTTTTACCTCTTTTTTTTTTTTTTTTTTTTTTTTTTTTTTTTCGGACAAATGTCTGAGTTTACCTCTCTCTGCAATAATTATGTTTGTTTATGGATTATTATAAATTCTGTGACATTTACTTATGTCCAGGACTTTCCCAGTGGTACAACTTTTCTTAACCTGCATATCTTCATTAGGTATTCTTGTTCCCACTTCCGATTGCATATTAATTAGATTTGCACTTGTCATTTAGCAGTTCTAACCCAAATGCTTTTTTCCTTTAACAGCTATATATGTAATGGGTAAATATGCCAGCTATGAATTCAAAAGAATGAAGGCGGTAATATTTTAATCATTTCTGGTAAATATGTTCCTTATCTTACACCATAATTTATGTTATTTATTGGTCCCCACATACCCACTCTTCATTTTTAGCAATCTTTCTTCTTGGATGATACAAGTATTGCTGATGCAAAGCTGCCATGGAGACCAACTGTTTGATGTTGCATATATGAGTGTTAAAATGGACCTTTTCATTTTCATTTTCTTTTTCTGCATTGCTACTGTGAATAGGATACATCACTGGACCTTTGGTGATATCTTTGTTATTCATGAATGATGTAACTAGGAACAAGTACTCATGTCTTGTTCAGAGTATTGGGGTGGGGTATTGGATTTTGGGCATTCATAGGGTGCAACTGCCAAAGTATGTGGAATTCCTCACAATGCAGAAGAAAATTGATTCACTTAAATTAGATTATTAAAAAAAAGAAAAAAATGAAAAATAGGAGGCAACACATTGATCCTACTGCCCATCTACTCAATAAGGATGTCAGAGAATAGAAAATGATAAGAATTATAGTCGTGGACATGATTTTGCTCTAGTATGATTGAATCTAAACCAAAAAAAAAGAAGCTTCTTTCTCTTCTTGTAAACGATGGGTTTTTTCCTAGTAATTGTTATTGATCATCCCAGTTTTTACTTGTTATTTCAAGGTTTCCCAAAAACCCTAGACAGATATTTATTGGTAAAATATAAAATTTCTCATCTGCATATATTTCACAGCAGAAATTTTTAACTATCTGAGATCATATCAGTGACTCTTGGATGCATTTATTTTAGTGAGTCTACTAAACACTATATTTACACATTTTACAAGATGTGTTCCTCGATCTTAAAGTAATGCTTACTTTGCATCTTAGCTTCCAACAATCAAACTGCTAAACCGAATTTTTGCTGCTTTCTGTGACTCCACAGGTTGATAGTTTTTGGCAGATTATTAAAATATTAGCAGCATATCTCTATTGATCTACTCAAAATGTTTTCTCAGGTAGCTGAGCTGAAAAAGAAGGAAGAATGAAAGCATCATGTAATCGAATTTTGAGTCATAGAAAAGAGGGAAGTAATGGGGTCCGATTCAGAATTTTCAAACTTAAAATCAAGAGTTGATGCATTAGAGGTGGCCATGCAGGAGATCGAATATGAACTGAAGAAAATGCCAAGTGTCACCAAAACAGACAATGAGGAAGAACATAAGAAGAGGTTGCACATTTCAAAATCATAATTATTTCATTTTTACTCTTAGAAATATCAAAAAATTAAAAAGCTTAACCCAAACAAGACTTTTTAATCTAAACTAAAATAGTCAAAAAAGGTAAAAAATAAAAAAATCAACTCACTTCTCAAAACAAAGCTGGCCATTAGAGTCTTTTGGTTATTCATTGCTACCTTTAAAGTAAATTAAATTGTGTTGCAAATGCCTTAATTAATTGAGGTTGTGATTATGTTGATTCTTAGCCTTCGCTCGGCAAGTTGGGTTGGGTTGGGTTGGGGGTTATTTTAGCCACAAAAAGATAGCATTGACTTTTTAGCTTAATAAAACAAAACATCATATCCAATCTATAATCATTATATTTTTTTCTCTCAAAAAAGTCAAAAAAACTTATCTTAAACGAGACTTTTTAACCCCAGATTAAAATAGCCAAAAAATTAAAAAAGCCAAAAAGTCAACCAACTTCCGAACTCTTAAGTTTTATTTATTTTTTTAGAACTTCTTAGATTGGTTAAGGGTGTTGTGACTCTAGATAGGTTGGTCACAATAGTTAATTTTAATTTTATCTTGTAAATTATCATTACCTTTTTATCAATTTCATATAGGTAGTTTTTAAAAATTTTCAGTTCAGTTCATATGTAATCTCATTAGAGACAATTATATAAATAAATAATTATTAAAGTCTAATTTGGTGGTTAAAAAAATATTATCATTACCTATTTAATTGGTAAGGAATATTTTTCTTTGATTTGGCATGTGTGGAGTTTATGCATTTACCCTTAGGATTTTGGGGGATTCTTTTTTGCTCATTTGTGTGTAATGATTGAGAGGGTAACATTTTATATTTCCATTTTTGTATGTTTGATTTTTGTAGAGTGATATACGGTTGATGGGTTTCAATTGCTGATGTTGTTTTCTTGTATCATGAGAATCAATTTTGCTTTTTCTAGGAAACATCACGACATACTACATTACACACTAAGCATATTACGATGAGTCCAACATAAATCACAAACATTACGAAATGAAATACCATATTGCAAGACACACACTTATAGTACATAACATATTTCCACATTGAACATATTGATACAACACACAGGAAACATAACTACGTACCCGTTGATCTCACTTTAAAACCAACATGCACAACCAATGTCGGGACGCAAAACCCCGTTACCTGCATTGGATGAATGATGTTAACAACACCTACATGTATAAATTACCACAACAACAGAATGCATATCCTACGTCCTAATTTGGCATTCTTCCGACTATAAATACACACAACAATATCAACATACCCCTTCCACCATAAACTAATAAATAACTTTGACTATTAACATTCAATACAGAACACTATAACATTAAAACCATACGAACATAATGTCTAATCATACACATTTGATGTGCGGGAATTGTCATATATCAAAATCACAATGTTAAATTTATCCCAAATCTCACATTGCACATTACATCAACCAATTAAGGCATGCAATGACGACTCAAATCACAAAACTAAAATCGAATACAAATAAAGGGTAACAAATTGTAGCACACATCAACAATTAAAGTGTCAAACATTACATACCTTCGCCTTTCATTGTCGATGTTTGAAATTACGACAATGGCGTAATCAGCGTATACGACAACGAACACTGTCCATTGTATCTGTATGTATGTCTCTGGAGACGACAACGTCAAACCCTCACCGGCAGAGATTGATCAACTATTGTTGAAGGTGATCCGTTGGCGAAGAGGTTCCTCTAATTAGGGTTTCAGTCGAAAACACAAATGTGGAATTTGTGCGAACAACTCTTCAGAAAACCCTCAATCACATCTAGTGTTCCAATCCCCTAACATGGAAATGTTTTAATGTGAGAATGTTTCTTGGCAATGTTTCCATATGCATATCAAACATTCAATCAAAAAGAGGGAAACCAAAAAATGGCTATAGTGCGCTTTATGTCCACAAATGTAATTTCACCCACAACAAAATCCCATATTCGCCCCCATTAAACACATAAAAACATGCATGGAAGAGGACAAATGTGTCAATCTAATTGTTTTAGGACCTTTTGGTTTAACAAAAAAAAAAAGGCAGGACTAACTAGAGCACAAGTTTACAAATTGGGATTTATTGGTGTTTCACCCTATATTTAAAACAAAAATACATTTTAAAAATCTATCATAAATGACATATTCATATTACATATATATATATATTTTCTCCAGTTTTATTAATATAATAAAGACATAAGGATTAAATTAAAAACTTTCAGAAGATAAAAGAAATATATTGTAACAATTTAAACACATAAAAACGTGTATGGAAGAGGACAAATGTGTCAATCTAATTGTTTTAGGACCTTTTGGTTTAACAAAAAAAAAAAGGCAGGACTAACTACAGCACAAGTTCACAAATTGGGATTTATTGGTGTTTCACCCTGTATTTAAAACAAAAATACATTTTAAAAATCTATCATAAATGACATATTCATATTACATATATATATATATTTTCTCCAGTTTTATTAATATAATAAAGACATAAGGATTAAATTAAAAACTTTCAGAAGATAAAAGAAATATATTGTAACAATTTTTAGTTTGAAAAAGTAAAGTGAAAAGCGATTATAGTTGAAGGAAAGTATAATTTGTCCTATACGTATTAATGTCGATTCTTATGTACCCTTTGCTCAGAAAATGAAGGAATTGGAAAAGAAGTCAGTGATTCTGAGAATTTTGATTTATTGAAATAAGAATTACCTAGCCCAGTTTACTGAAACCAAATATAAGAGAAATTGAAGAAACAAAGATGAAATTTTGAACATTTTATGTTCTAATTAAATGAAAAACTACCCAAATAGTCTTCACTAGGTTGTCTTAGGGGGTGTTTGGGAAGAGAGTTTGGTTAAAATAGCTAATTAAAAGATAAAATGAATTAAAATAGTTAATAAGATAAAATGTCACATCTAATTCATAATTATTTCACTTTTTCTCTTACAATTATCAAATCAACTACAAAAAAAAAAAGTCAACTAAAGTCTTGTTTGGAAAGTTGACTATTTTAATAATCTATTTTAGTTTTTGGTTATTTTAATATGTTAAAATATTTGTGTTTGGAAAGAGAGTTAGATTTTTTTTAGTTAATGTGATATTTGTAAGAGAAAAAACAAAATAATTATATGTTTAATATGACATTTTATCTTATTAATTATTTTAACTTATTTTATCTTTTTATGAATTAGTCAAAAAAATTAATTTTTAGCTTCCCAAACCCCCCTAACTTTCTAAATACAATTATTTTGATTAAGTTAAAATAGCCAATTAAAATAACCAATTATTTTAGTAGTGAAAAAGTTGGTCCACATTCTCATGTCTTTTCTTTTCCTACATTTTCCTAGAAACCAACCAAAGCTTCTTTTGTTCTCAATTTTGATTCCTTTTATCTATTCCTACATTTTAAGGCCATCTCCAACCCTGTACCAAATCTATTACCAAATTCAAATTTGATGAAAATGTGCTTATTTTCTTGCTCCAACGGTTTCACTTAATACGTATCAAATCGAGAATATCACAAATGTTTCAACAAATTGAGAACATCTGGGACTTTTTAGCATTTTACTATTCAGAATCGTTATTTTTGGGCACCGGACGACCGGCTGGACGTCCGACCGGATGTTCACTAGGTCACCAAGCTTAGTTGAAAACTTCTCACAAAAATAGGTGACACAGCTCCAAGTGGGTCTGCCTCATTGTTAAAGCAGAACCCAGATTTCAAACAAAAACAATGCATCTGAACACCCAATTCTCCATCTTCTAATTGCACACAACCAACCAGAACATCTCTACAAACAATTCGATGGCCATTTCAGGGAATTGGGTATGCAAATAAGCAGACATCAAAGAATTCCAAGTGACTACATTTCTGTGAGGCATTTCATCAAACAGCTGTTGAGCGTATGAGATAAAATCACATTTACCATATGTACGGGAAAGAAATAAACCTTCTCGTATAATTCTGTTGATCAAGTCTGCGCTCCTCCAAACGTCGTCGCTTTACTCCCTCAAAACACGAACGTGAGCTAGCCGGCGGGTGTGTGCCGGAAACCCCTCCGATGCCTAAGTCAGAAAAATAGACAAAGACAAAAAGCTCTGTGTATCAAAGTTGTGTTACCTCTCCATAGGTGATATTGGTGAGCTTTTATAGGTTTCATGTGACATAATCCAAGTAGGACTTTTACTTCTCCATGCAGAGTCCTTCTAAGATTCATACTCCTGAAGGATAATGCTTATCCTTTAACACCCCCCTCACTGCTTAAACCAAGTGAGATGATTTTACCATGGCCGGACTACCATACAACCGAAATAACATTGCCATGCTAGACTAACTGGAGTGACCGATCTAACTGTTAGTTCGGCTCTTCCTTGTTTTTCTCCTACCTCGGCTTCACATGCCAAGACCAAGCTATCCATAGAAGAGTTTAAGCCGAACTAACCCAAAACCAAGTCCTGAAGAGGGCTCAGTATACTTCGGTTCTGTATGCCATAACCGAACTAACTGTAGCGACCGAACTAACCATACTGCGACAACCGGTACAAGTTTTAGTATGGTGACCAAGCTAACCTCTTTGGGACCGGAGTAACTTTATGGCATTTTTACTCAACCCTTCGCACCAAAATTCGGTGATGATTGAGTTCTTTGTCTTAGACTTACATGAACCTAATTTTTAGGTATGACATTCTTTCCTTTTCCTCACGTGATCTAGCATATCATTGGTTTGGCTCGTTAGGGAATAAACTATTTTAGTAATTTTTTAACTTTTTATGAAAAAAATGTGCAAAAAGTAAAAAAATGTGACAATGTATGGTGACTTTTTGATTAAAATATTTAGTCCCCAAACAAGGTAAGGCTTGGTAGACTTATTTTGAGACCGATTTTAATTATTTGAATTGTTCACGTTTTATGGCTAATTGAGTAGAATATTTTTACAAAAAATAAAGATGATTCCATATAAGTAGCTATATGTTTGAATTATATTTTTTTTATATAAAAATAAACTACAAAAATAATTTTAAGAATAGCCATTTATTTTTTGTAATACAAATGTGATTCAAACATATAATTATTGATATCCAATCATCTTAATCTTTTGCATGAATATTTTATTCAACGAGTCTTAAAAAGTGAACGATTTAGATTACTGAAGTGGATCCCAAAACGGACCTACCAAACCCAAACGCTCTCTCAAATTGAGATAGCGTTGATAAGTCTTATCAAAATAACACATGTAATGTTTTAGCTTTTCGATGAGTTGTTAATATCTTTGTCTCTTTTTCCATGAACCTTCTAGTTTGACTTATTTAGTTTTTGGCTGATGACAAGCTAAGTTGATTATTTATTTCTTGTTAAAATATTTCAGCAGTATCTCATTGAATTTTTTGTGTTGTTCATCCTAGTACAAAGCTTTGCAGTAAATACGCATTTTTTTTTTCCTTAACCCAATTCTACTTCAAATAATTTGACAACCCAATTTGAGGTTGATTGAGGGCTGTGAAATTCAATGTATAAAGAGAGAAATACAGAGAGAATAAATTGTATGTATTCAATTGATTGATTATTCAGTGATTTACAACACTCTCATTTATAGAGAGGAAATGTGGTACACATAGGATACTAACTAACTAACACCAAAAGCAGAAACATTATCATTAGTGGGACAGCTAGACAGCTAGATATTGCACACTAATATTACACTAGATATTGCACACTAATATTACACTAACAGTCCCCTCAAACTCAAGGAGGATAGGTACTAACCAACTTGAGTTTGGAGAGAGTAACAAAACAGGAAAGTAAACTGATAAATAAAATAAAATAGGATACGAGACACTGTATGGTCGTGTCAGACCGTTGTAGCAGACAATGTCGGGACAGTTTACGGGGTCATGCCGGACCGATGTAGAAGCTAACCGGAATCAATGTCGGGACAGTTTACGAGGTCATGCCGGATCGATATAGAAGCTAACCGGAATCAATGTCAGGACAGTTTATGGGGTCATGCCGGACCGATGTAGAAGCTAACCAGAATCAATGTCGGGATAGTTTACGGGGTCATGCCGGACTGTTGTAGAAAACTTCGGTGGTACATTAAGGGGGCGGCTTAAAGAGTGCGCCATGGGATGGCTTGGGTGGTTCGCATGGTGTATAACCATGCTCACCATGATATATGTATAATACCCCCCTCAAACTCAAATAGGTTTGCGGATAGAAACTTATTGGAGGTTGAAACAAAGGGATTGATAAAGTGGAGCAGAACGGGTCAACACATAGTAGAGATGTGAAAAAAAAAATGGTAGAAAGGTTTTTTTTTGTTTGTTTTTGTTTTTGTTTTTGTTTTTTTTTTTTTTGTGTAGAACAGTGAGCGGGGTGCCCTGATATGAAGAAAACAAGGGTGTTGTGCAAGCCGGATGGCAAGAATGGCACAAGGTTGTTTGGAGCAGAAAAATTAGTGAGGTGTTGTTGAATGTGGGTTGGTATTATAATAAAAAAAAATATGTATGTATATATAGAAAAGAAAAGAAAGTTGAAGAGAGTGTGAACATGCTGATGATGAAAAGTAAAAACATAACATAAATTAAAAATTAAAGGGGGTAGTGGGGAACCGAGTGGTGTTTGGTTAGAGTGGTGGAAGAAGATACATGGCCAGCAGGATGATTAGGTTTTGGTGCGTGGGAAAAAAAGTAAAGTGAGAGAGAGAAAATCTGTTTGCCGGATTGAGAGAGAGAGAGCTTCGATGCAAGTGTGAATGGCGTGGGTCTGTGTCGTGCTGTCTGTATCGGTGTGTGAATGTATGGTGTGTATCTGGGTGTGTTGTGTATGGTGTGTGGGTGTGTTGTTTAGCTCCAAAAAATGCTGTCTTTCATCTCCCTTTGTATGGGTGTGGGTGTGTTGTATGGTGTGTTCTTTCAAACGGTTTGTTTCTCGTTTTCAGCTATAATTCCAAGCTCGAGATCGATATCAACGGAGATCGACGACGATGGTGGTGCTGTCTCCGACAACGATGCCGGGAGGTTGCCAATGATGCCGGAAGAGGGCGGCAGAGCTCCGGCGTTAGATTCATGTTGCGATGGGGACGCGCAGTTGTTATCCACCGCCTACAAATGCGTCGGTGGTGCCTGCGGTTGCAGCAAAGGACCCACTAGTAGCCTTGAGGTAGTCGCTCAATGCCCTGGCTGTGGAGGAGCTCGACGGAGTCCGGTGCATGGGGGTCACGCGCGACGTTGAAGTTACAGAAATTGAACTCCCAAATGAAGCCGCTCTCGCCGGAGCCGAGGTGTGTGAGGTTTCCGGCGGCGTCGGTGAGAGTGAGACCGAGCTGGATGAGATTGAAAGCGTCGACGTTTGATTTCAAGAGCTTGTAGTGGTCCGGCGGGAGGATTGATCTGGTATTGGAGATGACATATTGATTGATTCACAGCCACCTGTTGGACCCAACATTTGTTTGCATGGAGAATGAGATGGGTTGTTATCCACATCAAGATTCAGTATATCCAAATCCATAATAGTTGAACCCAAGAGACTTCTTGTGTTGGGTTGGTTACCGAGAAGAGAATCAAAATTAGCTATATGGAGAAGTTTTGCAGTTATCACTGTAAAGTAGAGAGAGAGTGTGAGAGAGGTCTTGCTGGAGTTGATGGAGGTCTCAAATTGGTTGAGGTCCGGCGGGCGGTCAAGGCAAGGTTGCCGCCCGCCGGAAGGCGAAGAATACTAAGAGCTTAACCTATAGCTCTGATACCATGTGAAATTCAATGTATAAAGAGAGAAATACAGAGAGAATAAATTGTATGTATTCAATTGATTGATTATTCAGTGATTTACAACACTCTCATTTATAGAGAGAAAAGGTGGTACACATAGGATACTAACTAACTAACACCGAAAGCAGAAATATTATCATTAGTGGGACAGCTAGATATTGCACACTAATAGTACACTAGATATTGCACACTAATATTACACCAACAAGGGCAATGAGAAAGTTAGTTATTCACCCCCCAAAAAAGAGGAAGCTAGTCTCTGACTAATAAAAGTTTAGATTTTGGGACATTGTTTGAATACTTCTGATCTTTTGGGACATTGTTTACTTTGTTTTTTCATTCTTCCCAAGTATAAATGTGTGTTGATCTGCAATCTTGTGGTTTGGTAAATGATGACCTTTTTGCTTTCTTGCATGAATTTAAGATGAACAAGGTTGGAATTGAGATTATTCAATGGTTGAGAAACATCAAGTATTTCGTGGAGAAATAGGGGATTATATATATAAATATGTAATATTCCCTCTACTATACTAGGTGTTGTATTTTCAACTTCTGCATTGATTAAAGAATGTTTTGCTCTAGAATATGTGTTATGCAAACTGCTCAAGCATGCATCCAGTTTGGTATGCCTGAGGTGCAGATACTAAAAAGCATGTAAACAATGTCCTTTGGCATTGGTATTGACTTGAAATGAATTCCCTAGAGGCTAGAGCTAGATCATCTGGTGGGTTTAAACATCAAGTATTAACTAGTTTTTTAACATAGGAAGTGGAAAGATTCGGACATCATACATGGGAAAGCAATCGATTAACACAGGCAGCATTATGCTGTTTCAGTTGGAAAGGCCTCATGTTTGCACATTGTAAAGACCACAGTTGTGCTACCGTGCTAGATTACCAGAAAAATAATCAGAATCCCCCATACTTGTAAAACTCTCTTCATCAATATCTCCTCTTCTGGCTAATTCAACAATCACAGTACCATCTGAACTAGGAATGACGTCAGGGGACTCAACTGTACTGAACTGGTCACTGTATGGTCGTGTCGGACCGTTGTAGCAGACAATGTCGGGACAGTTTACGGGGTCATGCCAGACTATTGTAGAAAACTTTGGTGGTACATTAAGGGGGCGACTTAGAGAGTGCGCTATGGGATGGCTTGGGTGGTTCGCATGGTGTATAATCATGGTCACTATGATATATGTATAATACCCCCCCTCAAACTCAAATAGGTTTGAAGATAGAAACCTATTGGAGGTTGAAACAAAGGGATTGATAAAGTGGAGCAGAACGGCTCAACACAGTGTGGAGATGTGAAAAAAAAATGGTAGAAAGGTTTTTTTTTTGTTTTTGTTTTTTGTTTTTTGTTTTTGTTTTGTTTTGTTTTGTTTTTTTTTTTTGTGTGTAGAACAGTGAGCGGGGTGCCCTGATATGAAGAAAACAAGGGTGTTGTGCAAGCCGGATGGCAAGAATGGCACAAGGTTGTTTGGAGCAGAAAAATTAGTGAGATGGTGTTGAATGTGGGTTGGTATTATAATAAACAAAATATGTATGTATATATAGAAAAGAAAAGAAAGTTGAAGAGAGTGTGAACATGCTGATGATGAAAAGTAAAAACATAACATAAATTAAAAATTAAAGGGGGTAGTGGGGAACCGAGTGGTGTTTGGTCAGAGTGGTGGAAGAAGATACATGGCCAGCAGGATGATTAGGTTTTGGTGCGTGGGAAAAAAAGTAAAGTGAGAGAGAGAAAATCTGTTTGCCGGATTGAGAGAGAGAGAGCTTCGATGCAAGTGTGAATGGTGTGGGTCTGTGTCGTGCTGTCTGTATCGGTGTGTGAATGTATGGTGTGTATCTGGGTGTGTTGTGTATGGTGTGTGGGTGTGTTGTTTAGCTCCAAAAAATGCTGTCTTTCATCTCCCTTTGTATGGGTGTGGGTGTGTTGTATGGTGTGTTCTTTCAAGCGGTCTGTTTCTCATTTTCAGCTATAATTCCAAGCTCGAGATCGATATCAACGGAGATCGACGACGATGGTGGTGCTGTCTCCGACAACGATGCCGTGAGGTTGCCAATGATGCTGGAAGAGGGCGGCAGAGCTCCGGCGTTAGATTCATGTTGCGATGGTGACGCGCAGTTGTTATCCACCGCCTACGGATGCGTCGGTGGTGCCTGCGGTTGCAGCAAAGGACCCACTGGTAGCCTTGAGGAGGTCGCTCGATGCCCTGGCTGCGGAGGAGCTCGACGGAGTCCGGTGCGTGGGGGTCACGCGCGACGTCGAAGTTATAGAAATTGAACTCCCAAATGAAGCCGCTCTCGCCGGAGCCGAGGTGTGTGAGGTTTCCGGCGGCGTCGGTGAGAGTGAGACCGAGCTAGATGAGATTCAAAGCGTCGACGTTTGATTTCAAGAGCTTGTAGTGGTCCGACGGGGGGATTGATCTGGTATTGGAGATGCCATATTGATTGATTCACAGCCACCTATTGGAGATGCCATTTGTTTGCATGGAGAATGAGATGGGTTGGTTATCCACATCAAGATTCAGTATATCCAAATCCATAATAGTTGAACCCAAGAGACTTGTTGTGTTGGGTTGGTTATCGAGAAGAGAATCAGAATTAGCTATATGGAGAAGTTTTGCAGTTATCACTGTAAAGTAGAGAGAGAGTGTGAGAGAGGTCTTGCTGGAGTTGATGGAGGTCTCAAATTGGTTGAGGTCCGGCGGGCGGTCAAGGCTAGGTTGCCGCCCACCGAAAGGCGAAGAATACCAAGAGCTTAACCTTTAGCTCTGATACCATGTGAAATTCAATGTATAAAGAGAGAAATACAGAGAGAATAAATTGTATGTATTTAATTGATTGATTATTCAGTGATTTACAACACTCTCATTTATAGAGAGGAAAGGTGGTAGACATAGGATACTAACTAACACCGAAAGCAGAAACATTATCATTAGTGGGACAGCTGGACAGCTAGATATTGCACACTAATATTACACTGGATATTGCACACTAATATTACACTAACAAGGGCAATGAGAAAGTTAGTTATTCACCCCTCAAAAAAGAGGAAGCTAGTCTCTGACTAATAAAACTTTAGATTTTGGGACATTGTTTGAATACTTCTGATCTTTTGGGACATTGTTTACTTTGTTTTTTCATTCTTCCCTAGTATAAATGTGTGTTGATCTGCAATCTTGTGGTTTGGTAAATGATGACCTTTTTGCTTTCTTGCATGAATTTAAGATGAACAAGGATGGAATTGAGATTATTCAATGGTTGAGAAACATCAAGTATTTCGTGGAGAAATAGGGGATTATATATATAAATACGTAATATTCCCTCTACTATACTAGGTGTTGTATTTCAACTTCTGCATTGATTAAAGAATGTTTTGCTCTAGAATATGTGTTATGCAAACTGCTCAAGCATGCATCCAGTTTGGTATGCCTGAAGTGCAGATACTAAAAAGCATGTAAACAAATGTCCTTTGGCATTGGTATTGACTTGAAATGAATTCCCTAGAGGCTAGAGCTAGATCATCTGGTGGGTTTAAATCTCTTTTTCTTGTCAATGAAATAAGATGTTGAGTTGGTGGTAGAATTTGCTAGGTATAACTGATTCAAGAGGAGGAACACCATATCGTACAAGACACAAAAGTCTATAAAATATGTGAATTACATTATGCTACAAAGTTTTTTAACATAGGAAGTGGAAAGATTCGGACATCATACATGGGAATGCAATCGATTAACACAGGCAGCATTATGCTGTTTCAGTTGGAAAGGCCTCATGTTTGCACATTGTAAAGACCACAGTTGTGCTACCGTGCTAGATTACCAGAAAAATAATCAGAATCCCCCATACTTGTAAAACTCTCTTCATCAATATCTCCTCTTCTGGCTAATTCAACAATCACAGTACCATCTGAACTAGGAATGACGTCAGGGGACTCAACTGTACTGAACTGGTCATTACTATTCCGCCAAGTCTTCTGCAGTTGCAGTGCATACCGGAGGTTACCCAACACATCATCCATCGATGGACGCTCAATCCCCTCATCACATGTGCAATTTTCTGCATTCTTGACATATTCTTTCAAACATTCCGGTGCTATTTTGTTGATTAGATACGGATCAATGATCTGATCAATGGTACCCATTTCGATATTAGTTTTGAACCAACGAACTAAATTCACTTGATCCTCGTCCCTTGAATAGATCATTGGCTTCCTACCACACAATAGTTCAAGTAAGATGACGCCGAATGAGTACACATTGGATTTTGTAGTAAATTGTGCATCGACAAGGTATTCTGGATCCTCATATCCCACGGTGCATGTACTTGATACAGTGTGGTGTAGTACTTTCGCATTCCAATTCTCATCCAACAAAATATAGTGGGGATTCAGGTTCCAATGAATGATTGGTTGCCTCGTACCCATATGGAGGTATTGCAATCCTCGTGCAACACCAATACAAATCTCAAGTCGCTTTTCCCAGTTAAGTGAACACTTGTTGGTTTCATTGAGGTGATTGTAGAGAGACCCATGGGCCATATACTCGTACACAAGGATCAGTTCATGCTTATCAATGTAGTATCCAATTAAAGAAACAATGTGAAGGTGACGTAGATGGGAGTGCTCCTGGATCTCAGCCGTAAATTGGTCCAAGTTACTCTCTCTTGATGTTCCCTCTTTCCATCTTTTAACTGCCACCTCAAGATTCCCACGGTTGATATGGCCTCTATACACTTTGGTGTCAGCAGCTTGCCCAATCACCAAAAGCTCATGAAAATTATTTGTGACTACTCGAATCTCTGTCAGAGAGAAACGACGGAATGATTGAATGACACCATTTTCAACAAGATCCCTCCACAACTGCCCTGACACTCCATTCTTAGGACCCCAGTTCTTCCACTTCCTCCACCCAAGATCAATACCTTTAGCCACTACATGTGTAGTACTCAAAAACAGATCGCTTATTATTCCCTTTTTTCGAGATATAAGAATATTGCCCTGTGATGCCAATCCTTGCTTGAGGCTCCCCATAACTTCACTCATTGTAGGCCTTCCTTTTGGATAATTATGTAAACATTTGTTAGCAACTTCTGCAAACACTTTTAGACAATTTGGTGATATTTGTCCTCTTATAGAGGGATCAACGATCTGGTCAAGGGTTCCCATTTTTATGCATTTTTGAGCCCATAGGGCTAGACCCATTTGCTCCTCCTCAACACTTGTATCCACCGGTGGCCTTGCACATAAAACTTCAAATAGAACCACACCAAAAGCATACACATCTGATTTTTTGGTTAGTCTATGAGTCAAGAAATATGCTGGATCTAAATAACCGAATGTGCCTTTTACATCTGTACTAACGTGGGTTCGTGTATGGCTTGTGTTTACCGTTTTAGACAATCCGAAATCTGAAATCTTAGCTACCCAATTCTCGTCCAACAGTATGTTTGTGGTCTTCACATCCCTGTGTATGACGCCTTTCTCCGCATCCGTATGAAGGTAGTCCAATCCATGGGCAGCACCAATACAAATCTTGAGCCTCTCCTCCCAAGTAAGATGATAAATATCATTCCCATTTCCTTTCCTACTCTTTTTGTAGAGATGATCGGCGAGTGTCCCATTGGCCATGTATTCGTAAACAAGTATCATCTCCTCGCAATCATCAGAGTAGCCAATCAGAGTCACAAGATGTGTGTGCCTGAGCTTGGAAAGCATCTTGATCTCAGTCCAAAACTCTGCTGCCCCTTGTTTGGACTCTGCATTCGACCGCTTAATGGCGACAGTGGTAGCTCCACCGTCAATGAACCCTTTGTACACCTTACCGAATCCACCTTTCCCAATGACCAAAGCATCATCGAAATTGTTGGTCGCGGATTGAATCTCAACAAATGAAAACCAACGGCACAATTCCTCTGATTGATACACACCTTTTGTAGTTGTATTCCCACTGTCAAAAGCTGACATATTTCTCAGATTTGGATCCCTACACGATACGATGGAATATGTGGTTAGCACACAGGATTTGGACTGGCAATCAACCGATAGAGTGAGACGATGAAGGAAAATAAGAGTGGAGGGATGAAGAAGACATGAGGATCACAAAATGAAGATATGGAAGACACAAATAGGGTCCCTCAGGTCAAATAATGGTTGGCTGTGCTCCAAGGCCAGAGTCAATAACCTACTACCATTGACTTTCCAAGACAAAAGTGAAGAGTCAATAAAGGAGGCATGCCTAATGAAACATATAAATTTGACAAAGTGAAAATTCTGCAGCCAACACATGCCAGTTTTTGTACCGCAAATCTTTACCGTGGAAAAGGTTGTAGATTGGTTTTACGCAGAAATCAATTGGCTTCTAAGTGCCAAACCTCTACCAGACATACCCCATTCAGGGGAGTTGCTAAATCATCAAAGCAGTGAGTCAATTGAGAACTCATCTGCGTGTTTTGGGCAATAATTTGGGAGTAAATTTATACTCATATTTGAGTAGAGCGACATTGAGAGATACAGCATTGTATCTCTATGAGCACTAGTTTTGTTTGATAGTGAAAATTGTTACTTGTGGGATTGCCCTTGGATGTAGGCTCAGCCAAACCATGTAATTCTTTGGTGTCAAGTGTTTTTCTTTTTCTCACTATTTTAATATTTGTTTGTATTTTTGTCGTCAATTTACATAAGCATCATCAAGTTTGGTATGGTTGAGTTTTTTTAAAGGCTCTCCGCATAACTTATGGTTGCTCGACCACTGAATAATTAAATAGGTTTTTACAGATTTGAAACCATGGATCCAACTAGTTACACCTGTTGGTCTACATTTTTTAACCATAATTTAAGCTCTTAGAACAGATTGAGACTATGGAGCCATTTGAGAAATTTTCTGGCATTCAAAATTTTTCTCAGTCTAGTGTTTAATGTAATATTTTGCAGCAAACGTGTAAGAGTAGGCAGCATCAACATGGGGCAAGTCAGATGAGCTCCCCCTACTCAGATGGTAGATCTTGTTTTTTTGTTTGGGAATTCTATAGGATAAGATCATAGAATTTTCATCTTAATATATTAACTAAAGAATACTTTGTTCTCGTCATGTTTTTTATGTGGAAATCAGAGGCCAAAAAGTCCATTCTCCTCTACTCAAACTAAAGAATATTTCACTCTTCAAAAGAAGAGTAATTAAGAGCAGGAAAGAACTGCTCTGGCCTATGAAATAACACCCAATTGCTTCATTTTTATGCTTCTTTTGAATGTCATAGGATATTTTGATTACAAAGAAAAACAATTTGAATTAGTTCAGTTCATCAGGGATGGTGATTACTAAGAAAGAACAAAGTTGATGTAGTTGAATATTATCTGATCAGAATTTGGAGATGCAGCACAAGCAGATCAGATTATAGGGGCGCGGATGGAGGCTAATCAAACTATAATAATCCTCTCCGGCTCCCAACGAGTAGGAGCTCCTAGAAATTTTACAAATTTCTTCCTGGTAATTACAATTTTTTCTTATTGACAGATAAGACATGGAGTATAAAAAAAAAATGCCAATTCCCAAAATAGGCCTTCGTTTGCATCTTGGCTTCCAACAATCAAACTGATAGTTTTTGGCAGATTATATTAGTTGTATAACTCTGTTGATCTTGTTACTCAAAATGTTTTCTGAGGGAGCTGAGCAGAAAAAGAAGGAAGAACGAAAGGATCATGCAATAGAATTTCGAGTCATTGAAAAGAGGGAAGGAATGGGGTCTGATTTAGAGTTTGCAAACTTAAAATCGAGAGTTGATTCTTTAGGGGCAGCCATGCAGGAGATAGTAGCTGAATAAAAGAAAATGTCAAGTATCTCCAAAACCAACGATAAGAACATAAGAAGAGATTGCAGCTTTCAGATGTTGGTTTGAATGCCAAAAAAGCCACTGGTAACGACCCTACTAGGATGAAGTTGGAAGAGCCAGCATTGAACTCAGTTATTGAAGCTGCTAAACAGAACCCAGAAGTAAATGCCAGCGTTGGAGGCATTACTTGAGAGTGTCTTTGGTTGATTAAGTTGACTTACCCACCATGGATTTGCTTCTTGGGCTTTCACAGTCAATAAAGTTTTGGACAACTCTGAGGAGTGAATTAACTGTAAATAATGTTTCTCTGCTATCATCTCTCTTCCTCTCTTGATTGCTTCTGTACATATGTATGTGTATATAAATATTTCTTCTTCATCAAAGATTTGAAATGAACTATAAAGCTCATGGAAAATGCATGATGTCTTACCTACCAAGGAATAGATAACTTCTTGAAATAGTTCACTTCTTTAGACTTTTAATGGGTGTTTAATCCTATTCTTGGTTCAAAATTAAACATATAGTGTACGGACAAAAAAATTTTCTTCAGATTATGGTAATACTTGGTTAGCAATCAAAAATTTTTTATTTTATTTTAAGAAGGATGGTCGTTAACTGCATTTTTTCTTCATGTTTATTTACTGCATAATACTATATGAGTAACTTTTTTTTATTTAAAGTGTTTATATTCAAGTAAAAAGTGTTGTTAGTAATAATGGTTTTCAATAAAAATGTGACTGCTAACCATGTTTTACCATAATTTGGAAATAAAATTTACCTGTACATTATTTAGTTAATTTTGAATTAAAAAAACATAAAACCGTTCAAGTCTGGAGTTGTGATTCTCAACTTCACTTGAAAGGAACTGTTGAGAAATGTTGTTGAAATTGGATTTGTAGAAAAAATAAATAAATAAATGAAATAAATTACAATAAACTTCTTAAACTAGTCCTATTTGCATTTTGTCTCTTAATTTCAAAACTAACCATTTCAATTTATTATCTTATTACATTTAATACCTTCTGGTAGGATGTTGTTCTGGAATTTAAACAAAATTGGGAAGCACATTACATACTATTTTTTTAGGACGATAATATATGTTATTGATGTTTTTAAGACAATAATATCATAATCTAGTGCCCATTTGCACTTTGCCTTCCATATCTTATGCTCTGTTTGGTTTGATGGAAAATATTTTTTGAAATATCTTTTTCGTGTTTTCTTGTGTTTGCTATAATAGAAAACAAAAGCCAACAGAAAATATTTTTTATAGTCAATGGAAACAAGCCAAAGAAAATATTTTTCACTTTTAAAAGGCAGAAAACGTTTTTCGGACTAAAATTTTACTAATGTGGATTCTTATGTACCTTTTTGCTCAGAAAATGAGGGAATTGGTAAGGAAGTCAGTGTTTCTGAGAATTTTGATTTATTGAAATAAGAATTAGCCAACCCAATTAAAGTAAAAAGCCCAAATCTAAGGAGAAATTGAAGAAACAAAAAGGAAATTTGAACATTTTATGTACTAATTAAACAAAAAATTCATCTCCATATACCCAAATAGTCTTCACAATGTTCGATTATTTGGAGTTTTTTTTCACTAGGCTCAATTAACTGGAAGGTTTTGGTTTTACTGGATAATGTTGGTCCACATTCTTATGTCTTTTCTTATCCTACATTTTCCTAGAAACCAAACAGAGCTTCTTTTGTTCTCAATTTTGATTCCTTTATCTATTCCTGCATTTTAATGCCTCTGAAGTGGGATGTCAATTGTTTAGTTCTTATTTTGTTCTTGTCTGTCTCATTTTCTCAGTGACCAAACAGAACATTATCAATTAGTCTTTAGTCCCTGAAATCCCCAAGCAATCACTTCAATTAAAATCTAATTCTTTGTGTATTAGTGTACATTGTGTGTTAAAATTCTATAGCCCACTACGAAATTCAATGCCTTCAATGAGGAAGATCGACTTGGCAAGCAGTGGATTACATTAAGAGGCTGTAGGAGAGGGTTCAAGAAAAGAGTTGGAAAATTCGAAGATCTTCGAAGATCCTTGAAGAACAACTTCGAATTCTCTAAAATATGATGAGAGGCTTAGATTCTTCAATGGTCTTAACTCAAGAACACAAAAACAAAGGAGATGATGGAGACTTGGCAAGCAGTGGATTACATTAAGAGGCAAATTTGAAAAGAACAAAATTATAAAAATCGAAGCTTTACGTGGGACCTAATTTCACATGATCTAGCATTATCACAATAACATATGTAATGTTTTAGTTTTTCAATGAGTTGTTAATAGCTTTCTCTTTTTTTGTAGACCTTTCAGTTTGGATTATTTAGTTTTTGGCTGATGACAAGCTGAATTGATTATTTATTTCTTGTTAAAATATTTTAAGAGTATCTCATTGAATTTTCTGAGCTGTTCGTCTCAAGATAAAGCTTTTAGTTAATATGCATTTTTTTTTCCCCAACCCAATTCTACTTCAAATTAATTTGAGAACCCAGTTTGGAGTTGACCGAGGGCAATGAGGAAACTAGTCTCTGACTAATAAAATTTTAGATAGTAGGACATTGTATGAATACTTTTCATCTTTTTATGGTTTACTGATTGGGGTAGTTTCATGAGAGTCCTTGTTCACTTTGTTTTTTCACGACTTCTTCCTAATCAAGCATAAATGTGTCAGTCTGCAAACTTGTGGTTTGGTCATGACTCTGTTTGGTTTTTTATTTGGTTGCTGTTAGGGATTTGGATAATAAACTTCAGAATGCACTTTTTGACATCTTGAAGGCAAGGGGGTAAATGATGACCTTTCTGTTTTCTTGCATGAATATATGATGAACAAGGATTGAATTGAGATTATTCAATGGTTGAGAAAAATTAAACTTTTCGAGGAGAAATATGGGACTACATATATATAATATTTCATCTACCATACTAGGGGTCAAACTTTTCCATTGATTAAAGAAAGTTTTGCTCTAGAATATGAGTTATGCATTCTGCTCAAGCATGCATCTAGTTTGGTATGTCTGAGGAGTAAATACTAAAAAGCATGAAAACAATGTCCTTTGGCATTGGTATTGACTTGAAATCAATTCCCTCGAGGCTAGACCTAAATCATCTGGTGGGTCTAAATCTCTTTTTCATGTCAATGAAATAAGACGTTGAGTTAGTTGTAGAATTTGCAGGTATAATTGATTCAAGAGTTGGAACACCATACTGTACAATACACAAAAATCTACAAAATATGTGGATTACATTATGATAGAAAGTTTATTTTAACATAGGAAGTGGATAGCTTCAGACATCATACATGGGAGAGCAATCCATTAACAGGGGCAGCATTATTCTGTTTCAGTTGGAAAGGCCTTATGTTTGCACATTGTGAAGACCAAAGAGTTGTGCTACCGTGCTAGATTACCTGAAAAAAAATCTGAATCCCCTATACTCCCCAAACTCATCTCATCAATATCTCCTCTTCTGGCTAATTCAACAATCACAGTGCCATCCGAACTAGGAACGGCCTCAGGGGACTTAACTGTACTGAACTGGTCATTACTATTCTGCCAAGTCTTCTGCAGTTGCAGTGCATACCGGAGGTTACCCAACACATCATCCATCGATGGACGCTCAATCCCCTCATCACACACGCAATTTTCTGCATTCATGACGTATTCTTTCAAACATTTTGGTGCTATTTTGTCAATTAGATACGGATCAATGATCTGATCAACAGTGCCCCTTTTGATATTAGTTTTGAACCAACGAACTAAATTCACTTGATCCTCGTCCCTTGAATAGATCATTGGCTTCCTACCACACAACAGTTCAAGTAAAATGACACCGAACGAGTACACATCGGATTTTATAGTTAAATTTGCATTGACATAGTATTCTGGATCGATATATCCCACGGTGCCTGCACTTGATTCAATGTCGGTTTTCACTTTCGCATTCCAATTCTCATCCAACAGAATATTTGTCGGCTTCAGGTTGCGATGAATGATTGTTTGCCTTGTACCCGCATGGAGGTATTGCAGTCCTCGTGCAACACCAATGCAAATCTCAAGTCGCTTTTCCCACTTAAGTGGATACTTGTTGGTTTCATAGAGCTGATGGTAGAGAGACCAACGGGCCATATATTCGTAGACAAGGATCATTTCATGCTTATCGATGCAGTATCCAATTAAAGAAACAATGTGGAGGTGACGGAGATGGGAGTGCACCTGGATCTCAGCCCTAAATTGGTCCAAGTTCCTCTCTCTTGATGTTCCTTCTTTCCACCTTTTAATTGCCACCTCAAGATTCCCAGTGCTGATATGGCCTCTATACACTTTGACGTCACCACGGAGACTCATCCCCACAAGCTCATGAAAATTATTTGTAGCTGCTTGAATCTCTGCAAGAGAGAAACGATGGTACAATTGGGTAACACCATCCGCAAATGGATCCCTACCCAACTGCCATGACATGCCGTTCTTAGGACCTTTGTTCTTCCACTTTCTCCACCCAAGATCAACACCTTTAGCTACTACATCTGCAGTACTCAAAAACAGATTGCTTATTATTCCCTTGTGTCGAGATATACGGATATTGCCATGTGATGCCATGCCATGCTTGAGGCTCTCCACAACTTCACTCATTGTAGGCCTTCCTTTTGAATGATTATGTAAACATTTGTTAGCAACTTCTGCAAACACCTTCAGACAATTTGGTGATATTTGTCCTCTTATAAAGGGATCAATGATTTCGTCAAGCATTCCATTTTTTATGCATTTTTGAGCCCATAGGGCTAGTCCGATTTGCTCCTCCTCAACACTTGTATCCACTGGTGGCCTCGCACATAACACTTCAAACAGAACCACACCAAAGGCATACACATCTGATTTCTTGGTTAGTCTACGAGTCAAGAAATATGCTGGATCTAAATAACCGAATGTGCCCTTAACATCTGTACTAACGTGGGTTTGCAAATGGCTTGTGTTTACCATTTTAGACAATCCAAAATCTGAGATCTTAGCTACCCAATTCTCGTCCAACAGAATGTTTGTGGTCTTCACGTCCCTGTGTATGACACCTTCCTCAGTGTCCGTATGAAGGTAGGCCAATCCTTGGGCAGCACCAATACAAATCTTGAGCCTCTCCTCCCAAGTAAGATGATAAATAGCATGCCCATTTCCTTCCCTACTATATTGGTAGAGATGATCGGCAAGTGTCCCATTGGCCATGTTTTCGTAAACAAGTATCATCTCCTCGCAATCATCACAGTAGCCAATCAGAGTCACAAGATGTGTGTGCCTGAGCTTGGAAAGCGTCTTGATCTCAGTCCAAAACTCTGCTGCCCCTTGTTTGGACTCTGCATTCGACCGCTTAATGGCAACAGTGGTAGC